AGCTAGTTGATGGTGCTGCTCTGGGCACTCTGCATGTCATGTGGTGGTTTTATATAATTTGGTGGCATCTAGTTTACACAACATTTGATAAACCCCTTTTTTCCTGACTTCTTGGTATAGTGGAAGTATGTTTCAGAGGTTTTGGAGAGGTAAGCATTTCTTGTACTTGTGGAGCTGCACTTGGGTGCCGCCAGTTAGTGTTTCACGATGAGGCCTGTACATGACCTGCATGGTGCTCCAGCACTTCTGGTGGCTTTAATCCTGCACCACAAAGTTTAACTCTTATGACTTCCTATATAGCTGTTGTGGAAGTCCGTATTGTTACACAGTTTAAGATATTTTATGTAGTGTCTGTCCTTACCCTACTAAACATATGTTGGTACAGTAATATAATCAGTTGTTATACATGTCAAGGAATGCTTGCTTACGCTGTAGTCCCTGTACTGGTCCTTCTCCTTTTATGTTGAGAGTATTTGTTTTTTAGTATACGCTTGGGTTGATACTACCAATACTAATTTCTACTAGCACATTTTCAGGTCTTTTGTAGACCTATTGCTCATCAGGTCCACTATAGTCTCCTACAACTGCAGGAGAAGGGAGTTCTCTTAGGCATTAGTTACCTCCCAACAGGTGTCCTGTTTGTAGATTTCTCCTCATCCTGGCAGCAGCTGTCAAATTTTTAAATTTTCCATCACTTTCTGTCTCAGAGCAAATGGTCACCAGGACAGATCGGGAGGGTGAGTGTACTTGAGACACAGATGGGAATAAAACCTGTAGGAGTTCTAATCCTTCCCTATTCTAGCTAACATAGCTTTGCTTTCACATGCACTTAAATTGTCTTTTTCTTGACATTATGAGCAGAATATGCTACTCCCCTGGGTTCAAAATCATCCAAATAATGCTTTTGGAGGGTGCAGTATAGTAAACTGTTTCTATAAAGACAGAGATCGATATCCAAAAGTTGTAACACTTGTAGGAACTGTGTGCATCAACTCTTAAGACCTAATTATTTTACTGCTAAAACATTGCAAGTGGTTAACCTATTACATGGTCCCTGAAGAAGACATTTTGTCACTCTGATATTTTACATTATTAGATTTTACATTAATTATTAGATTACTTGATTAAAGTCAAGTAATTCACTTGACTTTAACTTTTAAATGTTTTTAAGTGTAAAAAAATGTAACAATTGTGGTGTCCTCAAACTTTGAACTGGTGCATCACATCTACATCTATGTCTCGGGGCTAAGATTTTTTTTATTTTTTTCCGGGTATTGTAATGAAGCTGTGGTGTAATGAGGCTTATACTGAATTCTGCTAAACTAGGAGTGTGATGAAGCTTGCCGTTCTAGTGTCACGCCAAGTGATTGTATTTTCATTCATGGCATTCCCCCACCTACGTCTTGGTAGGAAATATGAGGAGTACTCCTCTTCTAGATAATTGCTTTGCAGTGACTGAATCTCTGTAACCTGTATACATATGAAAGAATTAAAGGGGAATAAAAACCCCAAACGTAATTATGAAACCTTTGATCTCTTTATCAGCAGTTCATAGCTGCTGGGTGCATGCATATGATGGAAGTATGCATAGCATATACCTGGTCGGCCGCTGGGGATCCTGTAAAGCACTGCAAGTCCCCGTTCACACTACATGATGCAGGAATGCACGTTCACGTGTTTTTTTTTGGCTGCGCATCGCCTATTGATTTCAATGGATGCCACACGCAAAATGGCTTTTGCAGCATTTTCAGCTGTGAGCATCCTGTGTTTTTTATCCTGTGCATTTGTGCCACAATTGGGGTGCCTTTAGCAAGTAATGGCACCGCAACCTTGATGCACATTTTGAACGTGCGTCAAAACATGCTTTGGCACGCGTTAGTGCAACACAGAGGTGTGAACGGGGACTAATAGTCAGAGCTACTACAGTGCTGACTGCAGTCTTCTGGGTCCTGTAAGGTGCTTAGCTGAGCGGCTTCCCCTCTGCTCTGATAACACAGGGGGTTGCTTGCTCTGCACAGCTACCCTTCAGACCACTCCTAGTATTTATTAATTTTTGTTAACCAATGAATTCAAGGTGTTCTTTGATTGGGCGAGTAGTGGTTCGTATTGTCACTGCACCTTGTCCACTCAGAGAATGCCTTGTATTTATTGACAAAAATATTGGCGTTGTCTGAATGGCCACCATGCCAAGTGAGCGACCCCATGTGTTTTCAGTGGCTCGGCGCCATACAGGACCAAGAAGATTGCTGTAAAGCACTGTAGTACTGGGGTGTGTACAAACTCCGGCCCTCTAGCTGTGGTGTAACTACAAATCCCTTGAGGCATTGCAAGACTCTATTTCATAAACTGATTAAAATAGAAGCCGGTCCTCTCTGCTTCTCATGCCTCCCCAGTTGTTTAATTTTAGCTGTGTACACAAAGTGTAATTTTAAAAGCTAAAAATAAAACCCGACTCGTAAAATATTTTCAAACCATCGACTTTGCCAAGAGCGGTCCTTCC